AGGACTGGGTGGGAAAAAATCTGCACATGTTGCTATGATTCTAAAAAAGCTGAATTCAGAATCGGATCCCCAGGCAAAAGATTCGTATCATGGCTTTCGCTCGTTTTACCCCCGAATCGGTTATAAACATAGGCAAACCAATTCTGTTCAGCTGGTTTTTCTTCCATTTGCTTCAGCCAGCTGGAAACAATTAGAACATATTCCCAATAGTGATAGATTCCCTGTAAACCAACCAGGCAAAACCAGAACTCATCTTAGCATGCCCGTTTTTGAACACCGAAAACCCCCCCGCGAACCCGAACCCCCGAACCATACCCCGAACCTCCGCGCGTGTCCGCGCCAACCCCCCGCCCTTCGCGCCGAACGCCCCGCCTGCTGCCTCCCGGGCGCCCAAAGCACGGAGCCTCTCTGCGGGATCCAGATCCGAGGCCTCCGGGTGCATGTCCACTGCTTGACGTGGGGGTTGGAAGGCGGAAATTCTCAAGTTTTAGCAGCTACTGTGGAGGGACAGAATCCATTTCGCACCAGTTTGAAACCATGGTTGAAACCATTGCTTGTTGGTATTTACAGGGGAATCATCCTTCTAGGATTTCTTAGGCGGTTCAGGATTTTGTCCATGTACAGTAGGTCCTCCAGATTTGAGAGGATAGAATAAGTTGGTACCAACTTTGTTCGGTTTTGTCTATTTTAGTAGGGGAGCCTTCCCAACCAAAAAAGGGGAGAGAAGGGCACTACTGGGGGACCTTAGCAGTGAAGTGGACTTGAAAAAACCCTCGGCAGGTAAGTGGTTGCTTGGATTTCAACCACTAAACCACAATAATATCAAAAATGGGAAAAAGGTTGTCCAACAACAACCATGTGTGGATGGTTGCGACATCCAACGCACCGAACTCAGAGACCAGGATATGGACCACAGGTTTTCGTCCATTTGGGGCTTTCCATTTTTGGGGTTACGCTGCTGTGGACGGTTGCGACATCCTGAGAACCAGTGGTTTCGGATTCCCCAACGTAAATACCGGTTTCAACCATGAAATCATAGCGGTGCGAAATGGAGTTCGCAACCATGCACAGTACCTTAACTTGCGCTCGGCGCGATAGGTGAATGAGCACTGGAATGACCCTATAAATCATCCAACGTGTGGTTTCCTTTCGGGCATTAAAGCCTGGGCTCAGTCCATTTCTCCTTCCCTCGCACCGATCGCAAGTGAAGGGGAGGCCGGTGGACCTGGGGTCCCCAGTTCCATTGAACAAATCGACTCTGCCCCATGAGAAGCAAAAAATGGTTACCATGAAGGGATTTTCAGGGGCCACCCTCCCCCAATTTCGTTCAGGGGGTGGGGATCAGAAAATAGATGGCTGAAGCCTCCTCCAAAAACAAATGGGTCGATCGTCCTTTTTTTGAGGCTACCCCCAGTTTGCTGGTGGTTGTAAAAGGAAACCGCAAGGAAATCAACCTCTCTTTTTTCAGGGGGGCGGGGGCAAAAAACGACACCCCTAAATGATCATGTCCAATGTGTTTTGTTTATTATCATTATTAAAAGAGCCACATAGCAAGTTGCGCGGTGGAAACCCAGGGTTGCCCTTGACGCTCCCAGGACTGAGCCCAAACAATTGAAAATAATTGCTCCACCTCTGCCCCACTTCCAGGACGCAAACCCCCCCGCTGAAGGCCAAAAGCTGGTTTCCGCCACCGAGTGAATCAAGTTGCTTTCGGCAAGGCAGGCAACTATATGGCTGTGGCTCAAAGTTAAACAGGAGGGGTTACGCAGGTTTTGGTCCATGTTTCCACTTACCAGGGTTCCATTTTGGTACCGGTTTTTTGAGCCACAGTCATATGTGCCACGGTCAAAGCTCCTGGCATGGCCTATAGTATAGTTTCCTTAGTATAAAGCCTAGTGGTTGAGGATCCTCACCAAGTAATGACCATCCCAACGTTAACCCAACCCCCTACTCCAAATACCCACTTAGTCCATATAGGGTATTTTTTGGACCACCTGGTTTTTCAAGGAAAAATACCACCTTTTTTAGTAGAGTGTCGACATGATACCTTAACACAAAGTGGGCACTGGAAGTCGGGGAAGTTAAAAGGGTCTTTTGACCATGGCACATATCTGGCTGATGCTTGGACACCTCTAATCGGTCCGTTTGTGATCCTTTGTGGGATGTCCTTAGAGAACTCTTGGTAGCTCCCCCTTCAAAGCAAATTCGCATGCCCCCGGCTCAGGCACGGCTCCCTCCCAACCACTCTATGGGTACCTACCCCATTCTTTCCAGGGATCCTTCTTTCTAGAAAACCTCTGTTTTTTTCCCAGGGAAAATTGGACATCCGGATTTTGATATTAGAACTATAGTTGAAAAGAATGGAATCGGAATATCAACCCCTAGCACCACCAGCCACTACAAAAAAGGATTCCGCCCCGCCAGCAAAGAACCGCGAAAAAAAGCAGCCTGCTGAGGCCAACGGAGAACCGCTGTAAGGCTGTCATTCGCCGGTGTAGGGCGATTGACCGTCGATTGCCCCGCAGCTCAATCGATCCATGATGTCTGACATGTCCAATTATACACAAAGGAATCCCTCATTGGGTGTGCCTTTTTGAGGCTACTGCTTTGTTGTCGTGCCTTTTAGTTGAGGGGAAAGGCGCTGAGGTGGTTCTTCGAGGGCAGTGCTGGGTAGGCTTTTGATGGTTTGCTTGGGAGATCCCAAGGTGGTTTGCGGGGCTTGACCCTTCACCATCTTAGATTCCTGGAACTTATTGTACCTCTTTTCTTTTTTTTGGGGGGGAGGGGGGGGGGTTAGTGAGCAACCCACGACATCCCCTTTACCAGGGTAGCCCTCTATACTTCCTGTTCCGAGTAAGGCTGCTGTCCCACTCCCACTGAAACAGTGGGTCAAGCTAAGCCTCTGTAAGAAACACGTGCCAGCTGGTGGTTTGACACAGTCATGTTGTGTATCCTATCCGCTCAGGTTCCCACTGATGGGTGGTTTGGATTGATCCCCAAACCACCAATCCACCGGGCTCCAAAGCCACCAGTTAGAGGGACGCTGATCAACCCTGGCCGGGTGGCTCTTTTTGTGTGTAGCTAGGTCCTCCAGATTTGAGAGGTCAGAATAAGGCTACCTTTTTTTATGTAGTCTGTTTTAGTCGGGGAACCCTCCCAACCAAAAAAGGGCAGAGAAGGGCACTACTGGGGGACCTAGGTAAAGCCGAGGCTTCAACTGCGCCTGGAGCTCAAGAATCAGCGCGCGCGCAACCAGCTAGAGTTTGAACTTATGTAATGGGCAGACAACCCGTTTCTGTATGGGGCTACGGGGAAAGGGTGACGGAAACCAGTTGCTAGTCGGACTCATTGGGGGCAACCTCATGTAACTATCATGTAAGCTACAACACCCACTTCTCCCTAGGGGCATTGGTCAGGGAGGCTCTTTGCAGTTGGGCACCTTGGCAGAACCCTGCCCCTGCCTACAAACAGGCGCCAATTACTGGCTTCAAGTGAGGGTGCGGAACAAAAAAAAACGTTTCTGCTCCATACATTGTGTACATAATATAAAACAGTTTTGGGATTCTACGGCCCCAAGAAAGACTCTTTGTCTCAGAGCCGATAAAGCTTCGCCTGGAACACCTTTTGAGTTGCGCTTGTCAAAAACCTCCAGAAGTCCTCAGCCCAGTCTTAGCAGCTCTTTGATTTGTTTCAAGGATCCACAAAAGCTGAGCCAGACCATACGAACATGTCGGCCCCATCCCAGGGGGGTTTCCGCAAATTGGGGCACCATGAAGCGGGCCATGGACTGAACTGGGGGGTACCCACATTACTCAGTTGCTCAGCGACCCTGCAAAAAACAGGGAACCCTTTTTGGGGCTTGGACCATTTTTAGTGGGGCAGCCACCCAAAAAAAGGAGAACAAGGGTGCCACTGAACTAAGATTAGGGGAATTGCATTCCCCCAAAGCTGGGGAAGCATAAGTACACGAGACGGGCCACGGAATGAATTGGGGGTTACCCACATGAGGGGAGGGAGTGTTACCCAGGTTCACCTTGACGCCACCTCCGCTGAAAGCAAAGATTAGCCGACGGTGTCTGGCGAAATCTCCAAAAACTTCCGGTCGAGCGGAGTGGCACACAAAACAGATCCAGGGTTTGTTTCTTTACCTAGCTCCTCCAGTAGAGAGGTTAAAATAAGGGTCCCAACTTTGTTTTTCTTCCGTAGTCTATTTTAGTAGGGGAACCGAATCTCCCCCAAAAAAGGGCAGAGAAGGGCACCTAGCTGGGGGACCTAGTTTACCGTACTGAAATGGTCCCAAACCCAAAAAGCGCCGGAAGTCCGAAACGGAACTCAGGCAGTGAGATGTTGGCCCAGGACGAATCAGCCCGTCCAAACGGGGTGGTTCCTAAAGCATTTGTTTTAGGAAAAAGGGGACACCCCCGATCAGACTCAAGCAGGCGTTCTAGAAAAAGAATCGGGGTTCCCATTGCAATGTTTCAAGTGATCCCTGAGAAACCTTCATCTTGGGTGAGCGACTTTTACCAAGCTCGCAACTGCAGAACCCAAAGCATTTCTGGGGAAATTCCGGGTGGGTCCCCTCTTGCAGCTCTTGCATGTCCCTTGAACCACAAAGAGCCAATGAAGGCAACCGACTTTGGGGATCCTATTTGAGACCCCCTCCCCCCTCCTCCCGTTCTCAAGCGCCAACTTTGTGCTCGAAACTTCTCGAGGTCTGCGTCTTCTTCGCGCACGCGCGCGCTAGAAGGATAGGTGAGCAGTATTGCTCTCCAAGAGGCCCACAATGGACATGGGTTCACTTACGGCTGCGTACAAGCCTTTGACATTTGGGGCTCTTGCCTTGGCTGGAATTAGGACCCCAGCAAAACATATATATTTGTTTGCCTGGTAGTGGAAAACAAAGGGAACCCCCCAAAAAGCCAAAAATGAATGAACAATTCTGGCGAAGTTGTATTGTCCTGTTTAACCAGCAAGCGACTTCCATTTTCACTTCAGAGAAGTCTGGCCCATTTTCACTTGAGTCTCTTCGCCTGCCCGCAATGGCCTAGCTCGATTCGCTCCTTTCAGGAATCACTTTGTCCTTTGGTCGCACCTGGCCGGCAGCTTGGCATCTTGGCCAAAACAAACTGCCCCAAGACAAAACTATCTTTGGCTCGGAACATCCGAATCCTATTAGCTTGTAAGAACTCCTACCAGCAATTTTTGGTCAGTTGAACTTCCGGGGTCAGAACTCCCTCAGAAAGCTCACTGCTTAGACCTAAGGTTTCGAAGTCTTCACCATGGGTATCTCACTGCCAGGGTGGCCAAAACCAAGGCCAAGCTAAGGGGATGTCCCCGAAAATATGTAAATCATATCCTTCAGGGATATAGCCTGGTGTAGAGACCTTCCTTTTTTTCACCCCTTGGCTGTCACAGCTCCCAGAAAACAGCAACGCGACAAGCCCACGCAGTGGCTGTGTCCCTTTGATGGCCCGCCCGGCCGGGCCCGGTTTTTGCTGAACGACCCAAAGCCTGGACCCGGCTTCGGGAACAAGTTGCCTATTGCTTAAACCACCTCCTCTTGATGCTGTCACACGACAGTCAGGAGGTAGGTGGCTAAAAACAGGATGCCCAACCCTGCTGGCGAGTACCTCGTGTAGAAGCTCCTGTCTGGAGGTTCACATTTTTATGACCTGGTCCCACTGGTGTAGCCTCACTACAACGTCGAACATGTGCGCTTGCCACTAAAGGTGTCCCATGTATAAAGTCCATGAACTCAGGAAGTGAATTGTACTACAACAGGGTGAAAGTAGATGGCACAATGAATGCCCTTTCTATGGGCACATAAAGGGGATAACTAAACCAAAATGGGGAAAATGTGCCATCTACTTTCACCCAACTGTGAATCCTTGCAAAAGGTCGACCACCTTTTGTAGCTTAGCTTGAAAAACGAGTCTGTTTTTTTTGTGTTGCATCCGACGATCGCGTCCGACCGCCTCGCCGTGCAAGCGGAAGCCCCTGGCGTAGGCGATGGTGGCCGCGCAGGCGAGGCCAACCTCGGGTGTGCCGAGAACTCAGTTGGAGAAACATCATGTAAATATATATATATATATATATTTCTATATATATATATATATGCCTAGGTCCTCCTGCAGAGAGGTTAGAATAAGGGTACTCTTTTTCTGTAGTCTGTTTTAGTAGGGGAACCCTCCCAAAAAACGGGTGAAAGGGCACTACTGGGGGACCAAGGCGCATATATGAATAGCATATTCATACATATACGTAATATAATTGTATGTATGCACACTATATTTATATATTACATATAACTAATATCATATTCATTTGTCATGTTGTATTTGTTGGGTAAGCACAGCTACACGTTTACCATGCCGCCAATGGCCAACGATGAAATATAGCACAGGCCGGGAAGTGGCCAAGAGGGCAGCTGAGGATCCAGAGAGAGGATGCCGAACGAGAGGACTGCGTTGTTCGCGTCTAAGGGTTTTTGTATTACACCCTGGGAATACACCCACTGACTATTGACCCCACGCCTAACTTGAGTGGCGCGACTAGGTCTTATACTGTCCGAGCAACTAACCGTTACTCCAGGAAGCAATACAGAAACTCTCAGAGAAGTGGGGATTTCACACAAAAAAACACCACAAGAAGCAACAACTTAGTTGCCCAAAAAACCTGTTTATAAAAGGTTAACCTTTTGGGACCTCTACTAAAAATAGACCAAAAAGGGAAAACCAAAAGGTCAAAAGGTCGGCTTTGAACAACTGAGTCAATGTTTAACGCCGTTTTCCCCAACGACCACCGGCCGACCAGTCTGAGAGGTCGCATCGAGCTTTCGGCCCAAGCTGGGAGCCCATCACCAGTGAGCGGCAAAATCCAAGTCCCGGAAGAAGGGGAAGACCTCCCTCCATCTACCAGATGTCCCAAGAAAAATACATTTGTTTTTTCAAATCAGCAGAGAACATAAGACACATTCCTAAGCACATGGACACCTGCCCTTTGCTCCTTCCGTGCAAAGATGCGAAGCTGCAAAGCTGCTCTGGACCATGCAGCTTGAGAGATGAGAGAAAGAAGAACCGGGCTGCATCGATGGTACCGTTTGGACACCAGGTGACAACATTCCAGCCCCAAACGGTCCCTTGGTACCTCCTGAGGATGCTTTTGGGGGGTAACAAGGGCCCGTTCAGTACCTCCCTAGAAGGCACCAAGAAACCCTCTGGGAGTGGAACTTGACATTCTGATTTCCCCGTTGGCATCGGGAAATAGTCACGTCTAATGGAGATGTTGGAAACGGGGTACCCTTTAAATCAACCCCAAAACGGGACACATCTGGTGGGCATTGTTGGGGAAACGAATGGAAACCAACCACAGGGGACCGATTCCTATTTCGAGAACCCCCAAAAACCGCAAGTTCCAAACTTGGATGATCGATTCGTCAAGTTGAGTGGGGATCGCCACTTGCGCTCCACCCCACTAGCAAGCCTTGTTCACCCCGCTTGACTCGGGGGACATATATACATGGTTTGTAGTCGAACGGTTGACAAAAACAACCTGGATAGCCCAGTGATTTTTGTTTAGTCTCTGTTGCTGGTTTTTGGTGTAAAGTGGACGGAAAAAAGTGATCGCGACTGGCGATCCAGGCACTTCCTAGCTTGACAACGACTGTCCAGTCCACTACCCTCCCGCCGGAGCCTCGTAACTTTACATCCGAGGGTGTGTTGTTTCTTTTTTTTGAACCCCACTAAAAGAGTGAGTGTTCCTCTGGTTTGCCGTGAAAAGAAAGGTCCCCTCAAACAAAAACAAACAAATAAACAAAAGGTTCCCTAAACACATGATTAGACTTAGGCCCAGGTATAGAATGTATGTTTTATTGGTTGCTTCCCTTTGAGTCACTGGTAAAATGTACAGTGTATCCTAAGCCTACCCCAGAACAAACGAAGCGACTGCGTGTGGCGCTAAAAACACCATCGAGCGGCGGTGCCAAAGCCCAGCGCGAAGAAGGCGGCGGTCCGCGGGAGCTGACGGATTCGACGGGTCTCCCAAAACCCGAGAGATCGTGACCCGCAAGCAGATGGGTGTGGCTCAAAATTAAACAGAAGGGGCAAACCCCAGGTTTTGGCCTTGGTTTCCCTTCACCAGGGGTCCATGAAATGGAAGTCCGGTCTTTTGAGCCTCAGCCAAGATGGTTCTGGCAGATGATTGAACCACCAAATAAACCAGGGCCCCTCTATTTCTCAACCAAACCGACCAGAAAGGACATCTATGACTCTATAACGACAATACTCACATGGCCATGGGTCAAAGCCCCAACGTAGGTTCTAAAATGGATGGTGAATTCACCTATCCCAAAATGGTAGCATTGGCTTTGAACCATGGCCATATTACTAAAAACCTATTTGTGGCTATGATGGTTATGATCGTACCTAGAGTCTCCATGACCCCTAGAAAAAGGGGCCATAACCCCTTAAATTTGAGTAATGACCCCATTTTAGAGGGTGATGGAGAATATAGGAGCCTAATGATGTGTTGTTGTTGTCCGAAACTACTTGTGGCCATGTTCGTAGAATATAGGAGCCTAATGATGTGATTTGTTTTTGGAAACTATTTGTGGTTATGATTGTAGAAATAGGGGCTTACGATGTGATTGTTTGTTTTTGTCCTCATGTTTCTTTTCTCCGGGGCCTTATGATGTGGCCTTATGTTGTTTTTTTGGGTGGCTTTTTGGCCAGCACGGTTTTTTCCCAACAGCTGAAAGCTATTGGACGAATGGCCAGATAGGCTCTAGCATGGTGTGAAACAGCTTTCAAGGACGGCTCCAGAGGTTTCCAGCAGTTCTCGGGGCTGTAGGGGATACCATCTGGGCTTCTTCTCTTTGCTTTGTTCTTTCGGGGGAGGTGCGGGAACACACAGCATCAAACCGTGGCAGTCTAACACCATCATCATAAACTCAGTTGTTCAGTGACCCTGAAAAAAGAAGGGAACCCTTTTTGGCAGCCACCCAAAAAAAAGGGAAAATATCTGGTGCCACTGAACAACTGAGGCACCTGTTAACCCCTTTTGGGCGTTGCTTCACGACTCCGTTTCTGATCCAATTCCCTCGGACCGCAGCAAGTGCGTGGCCTAGCACCATCTTAGCGGCGCAAGATCGAGTGGCCATGGGAAAAAACGGGCACCAGTGGGTGCCAGGTTTTTCATGGCCCCGAAATGGTGAACGGCAGTTAGGTGGGGAGTCTTCTGTCCACCAGGCATTTGGGAGGGTGGCGCACTAAAAGTCATACCAGCAACCCTGGAAAGAAGGACGCCAGGGGCACTGGGGCTGCTGAAGCCAAACGTGTGGCCATGGGTCAAAGTCCCGTACCCCAGTGAACATCCCACTCCCCACTAAAATAGGTTCTAAAATGGGTGGTGCACCTACCCCAAAATGGTATCATTGGTTTTGACAACCACAGCCATTCGTTTTCCCGGGCCCACAAACATGAGCTACTGTATGCCCACGTGGGTCAATAAACGTGCTGGGACTGAGTGGGGGCGCTGGCAAGGTTCAAATATAAACTCCCGTGGCCTTTGGTATGGGCTGGCCCCCAGGTGGGTCAGAGAAGCAAGGAACAGGGGGCCATAGTGTCCAATGTGATTTTCTCTGGGCAAGTAAGCAGGTCTCTTGACCATGTGCCTCTGGAGACAGTTCCCAACCACGTTGCGATGGTTTAAGGGGGCACACAAAGGCTGTCCAGACCGGGCCTTGTCAGTTTGACTGATATTGGCATGGATGACTCTCCTTCCAGCCTCTCTAAGATGAGTCTACAATAAGGCAACAGATAGTAGTGCATCCACCTTGCAGCAATCATGAACCCATTATGTGCTGTACCTACACATTTGTTCAGCGGCAAGGGTGCCCTTCGCAATAAACCCATGGTACAAACAACATGGGTAAGGTCCGCAAGTCGACTCAATATGGCTGTCGCTCTAAAGTCAGCACAGCGAACCCCCCCCCCGATCCCCCAGTGGCCATGCGAAGAAAAAGAGCAGCCTTTTTTGACACTTGTCTCACTTCTTTGAATGGATTAACCTTTGACCCCCTTGCCTTCATTTGCTTGTTCGTCCCCTGGGGAAATAAACAAAAAAAACAAAATCCAGTCGTGAAATCGACGCCCTGTAAAACCAACAGGTAAAGATGCACTCGCTTGCCCAAAGGACCTGGAAACGAAAGGTTCACCTTTTGGGACCTCTACAAAAAATAGACCAAACAGGGAACACCAAAAGGTCATTTCGCGTCGACTTTGAACAACTTAGAGGCTCCTGGAACTTGCAATGGAAGGCCCGACCCCTCCATTAGATACCCTGGAGGTGGTTGGGGGTCTCAAAACCAGGTTGTTTGAAGGCCCTAAATCAACTCAGTTGTTCAGTGACCCTGGAAAGAAAAGGGGAACCCTTTTTTGGGAAGACCATTTTGGTGGGGCAGCCACCAAACAAAGGGAAAAAGGGAGCCACTGAACAACTGAGTCAATAGGGAGGTTGTGGGAACTGAGTATTGAAAAACAACTTAAGCAAAACGAAGCTGACAAGTCCCAACGGAAGCCGGGCCAAACCTGGTTGGAGGTCCGCAAGTAGTTGGCCGCCACGTCGGTGGTGGCGGGTTTGGGATTGACCTTCACCTCGGAGATGGGATGGAACTACCGCCCCCCCGCCCCCGCCCCCAGGGGCGAAGCGACAGGGATTCAAACACAGTAAATATGAAACCATCCCCGTGAAATTGTTAGGGCCAAATACCAGCAAATTCAAGGTTTGGGCTAGCTTCATCGTCCTGGCGATAGTTTCGTAGACAGTTCTGACTTTGATAGCCCCAATAACAGCGAACATCATGATGCCAGTATTTGGCCAACTCAATATGATTCCCAAACTGGGAAAAACAGCCAACGCCTCTAGTCGCAAAAACCTTCATGGATTGCTCCTCCTCCCCCCGTCTTGGCTCATTGTAACCCAGGCACAACGCTGCATTGGGTCCTTGAAAACCGGGGGCAGCTGCCGCTGTGTCAATATGGCCTTACGCTCTACCTTTATTTGTGTGGGTTAACGGGAAACCAGCTAGTTTGGCACATACCTCCTCAGTTGTTCAGTGACCCTGGAGAAAAGGGGAACCCTTTTTTGGGAAGACCATTTTAGTGGGGCAGCCACCAAAAAAAAAGGGGAAAAGGGAGCCACTGAACAACTGAGCCTCGTTTGCCACATGTTTGTTGGAGCCCATGTTAAACATACCCAGTGAACTTCCCCGAGGGGAGAGATTTGGAGCCGGGCACGGCCCCCTGAATTGCAGCCCCGGAATTCAGCCTTTACGTTGGCTGGCTAAACTTGAACTCAGTTGTTCAGTGACCCTGGATAAAAAAGGCAACCCTTTTTGGGGAATACCATTTTTAGTGGGGCAGCCACAAATGAAACTTCCTCAAAAGTTGAGGACCATCCCTACGCCAAATGAAGGACTCTGCCTTTTCACACCTAGGTCCCCAGCATCTTTTTTCATGGGACTCCAGCCAGGGTCCAGTATTTGCCCCCGAAGAGCATTGCGAGACAGCCCAGGGAATCACTATTTGCCAACCTGGGTCCTCATGGAGCATAATGTTGACCCCGGATTAATAAACCCCTGTTTATTAATATGGGGGTGTCCCTGGTTTTAGCGGGGATATATCCCTTTTGGAGGGGAACATCCCCAAATTAATAAACAGGGGTTTATTAATCCGGGGTCAACATTAACGTAGAACTTGCGGTGCCCAAGTAATCCTGGCCCTTGCTCATATACCCCGATATCCCCTTTTGATAGATCTTGAGGTACAGCTGGAAGGAAACTAAGCACTCTTGGCTCCAGTCTTTTGGCCAACAAAATGCGTTGCTTCGACATATAATATGTCAGAAGTTCTTTTCGCTACTATTAACAATTCTGATTGATACAGTTGAATCTGTCCAAAGATACCCCTGGTTCCCTACTAAGCTTTCCGGCATTCCCAGGCATGGCTTGTACCCGCACGGGTGTCCAACAAAAATGCGCGGCCCATCAACGAAAAACAAATGGCCATGGGTCAGAAGCCCTTACCCCCAGTGAACATCCCAATGACCACTAAAATGGACTAAAATGGGTGGTGCACCTACCCCAACATGTACCATTGGTTTTGAACCACAGCCAGATCTGAGGCTTTCGGCCACGTAGGGTCCCACATTGTCCCCTGCCTGGGGCCGGTGCCGCCATGCGTGACCTTAAGAGGGAACCCGTTTCCCTCGCTTGAAGTGGACTGGCCGACAAAAAGTAACCAAACTCAGTTGTTCAGTGACCCTTGGACAAAAAGGGAACCCTTTTTGGGGCTTGGACCATTTTTAGTGGGGCAGCCACCAAAAAAAGGGAAAACGGGTGTCACTGAACAACTAAAAATCATGTTACTCACCACTAACATGGTCTTTCCAAAGTGTCCAGTCCAGGAGCTCAGGGACTGAGTTTCTTAGCCCGCAAAACGGGGTCGACCGTTGCCCAAGAAAAACTAAAAGATGAGATCACCTCTCGGGGCCGAAAACGGGAACTTCAACCAAACCAGAAAAACGTCATCTCGATCGCTCGATTCGCTTTGGGCCACTGAGTTGGGGGTCGTAACAATCCTATCTTAGGAGTCTGAAAACCGAATTTGGCCTACCTAGAATCTCCTTCTGACCCCTAGAAAAAAGGGTCATAACCCCTTAATTTTGGGTCATGACCCAATTCTTTTTCTAGGGGTCAGAAGGAGACTCTAGGAATACGCCCATAAATCCAAAAACTCGTCTTGGGTTTTGGCCCCCTGTTTCGGAGTAGAACGTCGAAAACTGGCTTCCGTGCAATTTCCCGAACATCGCCCCCAAAAACAGCAAACACTTCTAACCCCCATTTTGACACGCAAAATGGGGGTTAAAAGTGTTTTAACCCCCATTTTGTGTGTCAAAATGGGGGTTACAAGTCTTTGCTGTTTTTGGGGGCGATGTTCGGGAAATTACCCCCAAAAGGAAGGCGGGAAGCCGAAAAAGCCGAAAATTCCACAGGAACATGGGAAGCGGAGTCCTGGAGTCCTGCGAGGATCCAGAGGCTGGATGGTTGCGAAATCCCTGACCGCACCGCGAAATGAGTTGCCATGGGAAGGAAACCACAATGATTGTTGGTATTTATGGTATTTCTGTTGGGGAATCGAATCCTTCCAAGGTTTCTTAGGTGGCGCGAAATGGATTTGTCCAAGCTTGGATTCCCGGTCCTCAATTGCTGGTTTGGAGCCCGGTGGCTTGAGGGTGGTTCTCGATTAGGAAGACGAGAAGCCAACCAACCTCCAAACCATGATTTTAAGCCAGCGGAAGCTCAATAGATTTCAGTGAGGAATTGCAGAATGGTGCTGGCACATATGGCCAAGTGAAGAGTGAACCTCTTGTCCGAGTGCCCTCACATAAGGTTGGGCATTCGAAGATGTTCGGCCAGTTAGTAAGTGGATAGCCATTTGGGGTATAACTCCCATATAACAAGGCTAACTCCACTTATGGGGACTGATAAATGTGTTTGTTGTAACTAGGTTTGGAGAACTCTCCCTCTCAGATATTCTTGGGGATTCCCTGGGCCACTTGCACAACCTGCCAAACTCGGCTGCGCAGGGTAGTCAAACAAGTTGGGCGGGTTCAAATCCCCCCAAGTACCACCGGGACCGCTCAAGCCATCCGGGCCGCGCAAGCCGTCCCGTGGTGAACCTCAAATCCGTGCGTCTGCTTTTCAATTCCGAAGCCCCAGTCCCGCATTGCCTCGATCAGCTTCTTGTGCGTGCCATCGCAGTACCTGCTAACCCCCGAAACTTCAACCATGGATTGAACACCCGCTGAGTTCCACCACCGCCTTTTGGGTTTCCTTCTTTTTCGGTGTCTTCCTTTCCTTTTGGACAGCTCCCATTTCCCTTTTGGCTCTGCATCCAAGTTGTTTGCACCAAAGCGAGCTGCCGGCTTTCGACAAAAGGGTCAGACTTCCCCCCGAAAGCTCGAATTATCACTCTGATTTGTTTCAATGCTTTGGGAAAACCGATCGGTTTTCCAGAATAAATACAAATACCTAGAGTCTCCATGACCCTTTAAAAATTGGGTCATTACCCACAATTAACGGGTTATGACCCCTTTTTCTAGGGGTCATGGAGACTCTAGGTACCTGTTTTAGTCAAGGGTTGACATCATAGCCATGCTCGAAAAGTGTGGCATTGGGTGTAGGGGGCAGGCTGACGTGGCCATGAGCTCGAGGTTCAAAAAAGATCGGCGCTCCGCCTTGCGTCACGCTTGGGGAAGCCCATCGCTGAGGCTGCCCTTTTTTCCAGGGTCACTGAACAACTGAGTTCAAGTTTCGCCAGCCAATGCTTACCCCTTAAAACTCCAAGCCCTGGGGAAGTTAATCTTTTACAGACATATAGCCCATGTTACCCCCAAAAAGTTGAAAAGTTGTGTTTTTAAGAGGTAAGCAATGTAAAGGCTGAATCCCCGGGCCGCAACTCAGGGGGCGAGAAAAGTCGTGGCTCTTGTGCCGTGCCCGGCTCCAAACCTCACCCCTCGGGGAAGTTCACTGGGTATGGGATACGTCCATTTGCTTAAGAATACTATTGGTTTTCCCTTGTTGGTTTTAAAGGGAATCTATCACTACTGGACATATTATTGTTTCTTCCCGGGGGCTTAAGCAAATGGTGAAGTAAAAAACACCTACCATTTGTTGGGGTTGGGATTGTCCTTTCTTAGCCTGGCTTCAGGGGGGTCTTATTGCCACCTTTGCTGGAAAATCCGTTGACCCCCTAGCGAAGGATTCCTTAAGAAGGTCGCCAGTTGTCCCACTGAAGGTGGCAAAAAGACCCCCCTGCTTGGCCTTCTGCCCCAAATCCGTTGACTCTGTCGACAAAACCCTCGGGGCACGGGAACTTCTTCGACTGCCAGCAGCGACAGACCGAGACTTTCTTGGCCTGGCCAGTCGGACGGATGCATCCCACTGCCGGATTTTGAGATCCCCCTCTAAAAGTTTTTGACTTTTAGTGGGTCAAATGGAAGCTACAACTCAACACTAGAAGGCCAAAAAGCTAAGGAACCGGATGGCTGGCTTCGCCAAGGAAAGAGATGGGTGGCTCGTCTGCTTGGAATCGGAGCCCCAAAACGGCTTACCTTTCAAACCACAACCAAAAAGGGCACCTTCAAGAAGCACACACACCTACTTGCTTCGCGGTTTTTGAAAGGGAATCCCAAAGGAAAACCAAATTCCATGTTGGCTCTCCGAAAAAGAACACCTAAATCGCGTTTCCTGGTATGCCCCTTGAAATACCCCTAGAGGCACCTCCCTTTACATCGGGCAAACGAGTGATGATAGAAACCTCGGGAGGCATGGCGAAACAAACGTGCGAACATTGGCGTGGACCTGTGGGCTTTGCGGGAAATTGCGTGAGCCCTCCAGGTGCGCGAGGAACCAATACTTGCCCTGTAAAACTTCCAAGCCCTGGGGAGGTTAATCTTTTACAGACATATAGCCCATGTTACCCAAAAAGTTGAGAAACTTTTGTGTTTTTAAGAGGTAAGAATATCAATGCTGAGGACAAAAGATCATGAAGGGCCTGGAAGGGCAAAAAGGTCTGCTACTAAGTTCAGTCTGGCAATGAGTGGGGAAAAGCTGGTCAACCGGCATAGAACGCCTGATCGCTCAATCTAAGTTATCTGCTTAAACATGTTTTGACCACTGTTCAAGCATCTTTATGTGGATTCCCCTGTGTGAGACTCATTTACGTGTCAAGACACTGGGACAACACAAATGTGGTTTCCTTTTGCACCTGTCTATAAATCGACATCCACATCCAAACCCTATCCTGAAGTGGATGGTTGCAAACTCCGCAACCTCTGGTCCAACACCCCCCAAACACACTTCCTGCTCCTTCCATTTGCTCAATATGTTTTGTTGTCCCCATCTGCTGGCTTTCAAGAAAACTATCACTACCGGAAATATGTATGTTTCTTTCCTGGCGAGTTCAGCAAATGGAGGGTTCTGGTCGAGCTTCGTCCTTGCAAAGCGGTGTGCTTGGGGAGGGGTGTGCTTGCCGAGTCCGGTCCCGGCATTCATTCTCGATGGGGTACAACTTCCCAACTGGTCAACTCGGGGTCTCCAAAAAAAAAACTCCCCAGACCCGAAACTCCTCTAGGTCCTCCAGATTTGAGCTATTGGCCTATTTCAGGCAATGTGAATTTGACATTTCATGGTTGCTTTTTTATCCAGAACAAGGGTGGTCGATGGAGCGAGGCCTCAAAGTGACGCGAGGAAAAGGACCTGCCATTTCAATGTAGCCAGAACGCGTGGCTTGTCAGAGTGGTTCGCCACTCGGGTTCCAGAACGCGGAACAGGGTTCGCCCCACTTAGTTCGAGGGACTTCTGAGTACCTAGAGTCTCCATGACCCCTAGAAAAAGGGGTCATAACCCCTTAATTGTGGGTAATGACCCCATTTGTTTAAGGGTCATGGAGACTCTAGGTAGGTTATGACCCAAGTCACAACCATGCTAGTTTTGCCGAAGACCCTAAGGGGAGGAATCACGGTGAAGTCCACTTATATGTTTCGGGGTATTTGGGTGCGTCTTCTTGCTGATAGTCCCCCTCCCCTTTTTGGTGATTCAAAAAGCGAACACCAAGAGGAAAAACGATGTCCATTTTAGGGGGTCCCTCAAATATGCAACACTCCCATATCACCCCTCCCCCGCCCAAATTACCTGAGATTTATAGACTCGGCGCATCGAAAACCAAAGCACTGAAAACCACCCGCCTCACCCGGCGCTGCATACTGGATGAGGTGATGGTACCTGAAAGATTTTTAGGCCTCTTCTTTCCTTGAGGCGTACCGATCTTTCATGAGTTGTTCAGTGACCCTGGAAAAAAAAGGAACCCTTTTTTGGGAAGACCACTTTATGGGGCCACCAAAAAAAAGGGGGCAAAAGGGAGCCACTGAACAACTGAGTTTCACGTGGTTTGCAAAGGGAACCTAAAACGAACACCGAAGCCATGCTAGGTCCTCCAGATTTGAGAGGTTAGACTAAGTTGGTAAGTTGGTGCCAACTTTCTCGGTTTTGTCTATTTTAGTAGGGGAACCCTCCCAACCAAAAAAGGGGAGAGAAGGGCACTGGGGGACCTAGCATGTTTTGGGCTGAAACACCACATGTTTGGTGGCTTTGAACGCGACAAACCAAAAGGAACACCGAAGCCATGCTGGGGGGTCCAACACTTCGAAAACAAAACACGCCTGAACGGCTTGCGAACACCTGCTTTGTTCTCATCGATGGGAGGGGCGCAACAGGCCAGGGAGGCAAAAAAAAAGAAACGTAGCTGTCAAGGTTCCCCCCTTTTGTCAGCTTCCTCCTTAAACCCTAAACCCTGCAACCTCCTTTTGTCAGCTTCCACCTTCCACTCATTTCTCTGGGCCCCGCAATCCACAAAATTGGAACCCAGACCCGTGGTCTGGGAGAAAAGTCCCAGAAAAAAAAAGGACCATACAAAACGAAAGCAGGCAAACACACACACACACACCAAAAATAACAAGAAGCAAAGAAACAAGAAAAAAACATCAAGGTCCCAATCGACCAGGGGGTCCGGTTGACCGACCGCCACATGGCATGGCATGGCTCACTTGTCGTACTTCTCGGTGTTGTAGTTCATCTCCGGCGGCGGCCACTCCATGGCCCCTGCCAAGAAGCCCGGCTCCCCGATGGACTCCACTGGACGATGCTAGAGTCTCCTTCTGACCCCTAGGAAAAGGGGTCATATCCCCCCTGAATTTTGGTCATGGAGACTCTAGGTAGGTCCCTAGGTCCTCCAGCTTTGAGAGGTCAAAGGTCAGGGTACCAACTTTTTGCGGTAGTCTAGTTTAGCAGGGGAACCCTCCCCCAAAAAAGGGTAAAAGGGCACTACTGGGGGACCTAGGTTTCCTCCAAACTCGACTCGGGTGTTCGTGCTGTAACTGTAACGGTAACCTATGCTTTGAGGGTTTTCCTATGACACCCTGGCATTACACTAAGAAATTTACCCAACATAAGCCACAATAAACAAAATATCCAGGTGTGATCTAGAAATAGGCCAGAATAGGGTGATTCCCCAGAGGGCGTAATCCCAGGGTGGAATAGGAACTTATAAGCCCCCCGAATTAAGTGGGGCTAACCCTGTTATTAGTGGCTTGGAACCCGGTGGCGAACCACTTCCTGACATGGCGAATCGAACATCCAAGTACCTCAGTTGTTTAGTGACCCTGGAGAAAGAAGGGAACCCTTTTTTGGGAAGACCATTTTAGTGGGGCAGCCACCAAACAAAAAGGGAAAAAGGGAGCCACTGAACAGCTGAGGTACCCTCCGGCATTCTCTTCAGGGACTCTCGTTCAAAATTGGCTGCCAATCCGGGCCCCGGATTGGACACACATTGGGTGGGTTCCAGCAAATCGAGGGAAGCGAATGGAATCAACGACTAAAATTACAACTACTGTACCCTCCTGTCCACTAGCTTGGAACCTGACTTGGGGTTCCCGGAAGAGAAGTTTCCTACATGGACCTTCTTGGTGGGGTGCTCCTGTTTTACCCGTGCCAGTTAGCTTACCTCTAATTGGTGGCTTGGAGCCCGGCGGGTTGGTGGTTCGGGGGGGGCGGGGTTCTCAGTTACCCTCTGCAAGAACCAGAAGGTTCAAAACCAAATCCAAACCACCAATCCGAACCACCAAAGGACTACCTGAACCCTTGGTCAAAAGGTAACCCAAACCTTGCCGATTTCAACTACCCAGTGAGAACGATAGTTTGTCACTGTGAGAAGCTTCCTAAAAGGGGTCCACCTAAGTATAAGTGGTCCTCCTAAAAGGGGTCCTCCTAAAAGGGGTCCTCCTAAAAGGGGTCCACCTTTGTCACTCATGAAATGCCCTCAACTAAGTGTATATTTGGGTGTGACTTTTGGAGGATCCTCTTTTTGAAGTTGGTTTAAAGTGAAACCAAAGGGCCTCAACTAGGTCCTCCAGTAGAGAGGTTAGAATAAGGGTACCCTTTTTCTGTAATTAGTCTATTTGAGCAGGGGAACCCTCCCCCAAAAAAGGGTAAAAGGGCACTACTGGGGGACCTAGACAATCTTCAAGGTCACAAGCCCCTCCCCAGCTTTCAGCATCGAGATCCCACCTTGGCTGTCACTGCCAGCAGGCAGCCCAGCCTATCGCCCTAGCCAAAAGGGCTGTCGGGTGTCGAAGGATGCTTCGACCCTTGTTCTAGGGCAACATTCCCCATTATTTCCAGGGATTCTTCTTTTTAGGAAACCATCAAACACCAAGGGAAACAGCTGGTTTTTGAAAAGAACGATGATTGAAAATAATGGGGAATCAACCCCTAGACGTGTGCTCCCATCCTTCCCGCAAAACCAGTTGCATGAGCCACCGTGCACAACAGTTTTTGCACGTTGTTTGGATCACCCAAAACCCGCTTTACCGAGGAACACCCGGCTCTTCAACGGAACCCGACGACTAGCCAAAGTGGTTTCTGTGTGTTCCTATGAAACCTCACTTCCTGAAGATTTGAGAGGTTAGAATAAGTTGGTACCAACTTTTTCAGGACGTCTATTTTAGTAGGGGAACAACCAAAAAAGGGGAGAGAAGGGCACCTAGCTGGCGGACCTATATAGAAAAGGCTGGGCGTTCTTAAGGGAAACCTCAAGGACAGCGCAAAGAGACACACCAAAACGGTCCGAGCCACGACGTCCGAAACGTCCCAATCACTGGACTGGCACCCTTTGAATCCCACCAACGGCCAAAAGTGGTTGACAAGACAAGGAAACTGAACGGAAACACGGGTGGAAAGCAAGTTACGTCTGGCACTGAGTTGTGGGATGTTCATAATCTTCAACTTTTGGACCTCTTCACAGTTTCTCTTCCCAAGGATTCTACGACTTGCTTCAAACCGAAATGAAAACGCTCTTCTGTTAGGCTTTGTTTTTATAGAAGAGGAGCACGTGGCACTGGTGGCCAATGCAACCAAGGGCCTCGTCGTTTGATTCAAAACCCTGCGCACAGGTCTGCCAGATCCAAAAGGCCCAGTCGATGTCCATGGGAACGAAAGAATCGGCATTCGAGTTTGTTTTGGTTGGTTGACTTTAGAGTAAGACGGGAACCCAGCCCCCAAGCAAAAGGAAGAAAACAAAAGGAGCAACCCACTGGGCAACTGTTTTTTTCTTATTTTTTTGCGGCGCCATAAGCTTGCAGGAAAACTTGCTTACCCTGAGGTTCCCTTCGGACAACGAAGAACCAAGGGACCTGTCTGGGTCCATGTTGCGCGACAGGTTATGATTCCACCCCCCCCAATAAACCCCGAGGTTCTGTCCAGTTTCCAAGGCACGGGTTGGTCTTTGCCCTTCAATCAACCACGTCGTCTTTTGACTCCGGCAAAAGCCGGCCCACATGAAAAACCATCCAACAAAAAGCCTCCTCTCATGTCAACTGGGCTCCAACATTGACATTTGGCAACTCTGGACCAAGGTACTCTCTAACTCAAGAAGATGGTATCCGAGGCTAACACATGGAGCCAGGTCAATTTAACTGGAACTGAGTTTTGCAAAGGGGTCTTGCGTGGGTGTTTGATTCGCAAATCCTAGGTCATAACCCACATATCAGTCCCCCGTTCAGTGGAGTTAACCTTGACTTTCTAGTGGATTACAACCCAAGTCGCTAATCACTTACTAGCTTGGCGAACCGAGCATCCAAGTGGAAGGCCAGCCTAGGTCTTCAAAATCCCTTCTCTCACTTAGACAAAGGCTCGGAGTTCTTGGTTGACGTTGGGAGCACAAATTTAAATTTTAGCAGTCAAGTGGAGATTTCCCACTCAACCACAATAAGCACAAATGTCAAATGTTTCCCAACAACAACCATGAGTTGGCGATCCCAAGTCCTCTGCACCTCGGACTTCTTTTTCGCACTGTTCGCTTTCAAAGCGGGCGCGGCCTTCTGGCCTTCCCCCTGGTCGAAAGGTGTCCGGTGCCTCGGCCTTTTTAAAACATGGATGGGTTTCTCTGGTAAATGGAAGAAACCGCGAATCTAAACCAGTGCCATCTATATTTTTGGGCTAAATTAACCGAAAAAGGACACCTATGGTCCATAGTCATAGCCCGGCTGCCAAAAGGATCTTAGAGGCGCGCAAGATCGGACCTGAAGACGGGCCGAGGGGCGAGGCTCCCAGTGTTAGAGTCCACCAATCTTGGTCCGTGTCGTGCATGGAAGACTTAGAGACTTAGAGCTTGTCCCACTGGTTTAGGTTGAGATTTTGTGGCTCGCCAGGGCCGTGAAGTGACCATAGACCAATCCGGAAATTTCAGCCTGGCAGCAAACACCCACCAACAAGTACCGTAAAGGCCTACTTAATTCTAGGGGAAACTTCCCCATTCTTTCCAGGGATGCTTCTTTCTAGAAAACCAGCGGGAAATGGCTGGTTTTTGAAAAGAACGATGGCTGAAATTGTTAAGAATGCGGGACACTCCAACACCATTTTTGTCCTGGAAGTTGGCTGGTGCTTGGAAACCTCCACTGATGTGCGATCAGTTTTGCGACAAGATTGATAACCGATTCTGCTCGTGTGCGAACCGTCCAAACAAAAAACCAGCCAGGTGCCTCCAACAGATCTGACCCCGCGACAAGATGACGGTTTTGTTGGCAGGTTGAAAGGGGACGTAAAGGACAGCCAAGAAGGAGAACACTCAAACGCTAGTCTGCAATTAAAAATTGTTCGTTTTTGAACCAATCCACTATTAGCAATTTGTTTGCCTCTTTTTAGTTGACCAAAGGACCCAGAAATACAAGTCTGGCCTTTTGGAACCTTGAAAAAAAACAAAACATATGAACCAAATCAGGGAAACCAAAAGGTGTGTTTTGGGGGAACCCATTTTTGGTACAGAAAAGACACGGGGAAAACCATCATCTTGGAGGGTCTGACCCAAAAAAGACAGCAACACCTGGTTGCATACAGTAAATAGCAAGTAAGGACTGACATTAACAAAAGCAACAACCTCTCATAAGCATAGGCCGCGTTTCTTCTTCGCCGATCCGTCACCGGAGACCGCTTGCCGAGTGCAGCGATCAAAAGGCGTCGAGTGAAGACGTCGCTTTCACACCGCCTGGCGCATGTCGGTTGGCCGGAAAAAGTCGAGACCTTACCAACGGTCTTCCCAAAAACAAAAAAGGAAACAAGAACTCCACTAAAGCCACTGGGCAGCTGCTTGGCTTCATCTTTAGACTCTGCTGCTTGCACTAGGTCCTCCAGATTTGAGAGGTTACAATAAGGGTACCAACTTTTTTCAGGACGTCTACTTTAGTAGGGAAACCCTCCAAACCAAAACAGGGGAGAACAGGGCACCTAGCTGGGGGACCTAGTTACGAAATGGTCGTCCCAAACACTAGAAAAAAGGAACCGGAACTCCAGGAGTGCACCCAAAACCAATCAAAAGATTCCCTCCAAAGAAAGAAAAACGGGCACCCCTGGGCGTCTGGGTGTTGGTTGCAATATAGTATTTGCCAGCAAACGGGGTGCCCAAGTACTGGGTTACGCAGTGACATCCGGTTGTGGTTGAGAAATGGAACAAGTCATTTACCTGCAAGTTACTGTATGGTGTGTGGTTCTGAGTGTGCTTGGTTTACTTGCGATGTGGCAGGGGCATCAACCGAATCTGGAACACAAAAATCGCATTGTTGGATTTGCGCTCGTTTCGAATTGGGATAAACTTGGTTTTAAATAGGTTTAGTATCGGTGTAGTATTGGTTTATAGTATTGATTCTAAAATGTCCCCCAATGCGACTGGAGTTGGGGTCGGCGGGACATTTGCCGGTTTAGATTCGGTGTTGCACTACCTAATTCTAATTCAGTACTGCTCCTAGCACTTGAAATGTAGGTTGACTGGTATGACAAAAGGGGGAAACGGGGTCCAAAAATGAACCTGTTTGGAGAAAAAGTCATCATGTTCCTTGCGCCAATGCTCTAGAGCATTCTGGACAGCACTTGAGGGATATGGGAACAAGCGGTCGTTGCAGGGTGTTGGTTCGATGTGTAGTCTCTCAGGTTCTAGTGAGGCCCCTTGCTCTCACACACACGCTCTTTTCAGCTGAATCCTTTGTCTCGCACAGGGCAGGGTACCTTGTATCACAAAAGATCCCGAACAAAAGGTAGGTTCTTCGATAGGTTTCACTTTTGGTGAGGGCAAAAGTAGCTGGCACAACTAGCTAAACTCTGTTTAGCCACCCCCCGCTTAGGGGGGAGTTGTGCCTTCTACGTTCACCATGGTGCCATAGGGCGGATGCTCCAAGTATTTCCAAGGAACAAGGGAACTGGCTCCCCAATTCACCATAACTTGCCGTATGGTTTTGTGGCTTTAGGTATGGGTTCACTTGCAATTTGGCCGTGGGTCAAAATTGTGTAGCCAAAATAGAATCCTGGTAAATGGAAACATGGACCAAAACCTGCGGTTTAATTTTGACCCATACCCATATGGCAGGGGCCCCCGCCGACGCACCTACCCCACCTACCCCACCTACACCGCCTACCCCACCTACCCCACCTACCCCACCTACCCCACCTTCCCCCCCTCCCCCGCCTTCCCCCCACCAACCCCACCTCCCCCCGCCTACCCCCCCCCCCCAACCTTGCCCCCACCTCCCCCCCAAACATTGATTGAATAGATGTACATGTTTCGAACCTCCCCGCCCCTCCCCTCCCACCTACCCCACCTCCCCCCCCCCCCCCGCCCCCACCTTCCACCAGCCACCTCCCCCCCCCTTACTTCTAGGAAACGGTTTGGATGCGGTTTTTGTATCCACCATTGTAGGATAGCAAAAGAGTACTACAAGAGTATTAAAAGAGGAACAACTTGCCAAACAGAATGGGGAAACCACAGAAAGCGCATCCAATCCGTTTGCGGGATTGCTTCCCACAATCCTCAGGCCTCGAAGATGGCGGGGTCCTTCAGCTTCTCCTCCAGCTGCCGCAGCTTCTCCTGAGCCAAAACGCGTCCGAAAGGCAGGGTTTTCAGCCGTTCTCGGTCTCTGTTTTTTCTTCTTTCTTTTCTTTATTTTCTTTCTGATTTTTTGTTCTCTCTCTCTTTCTCTCTCTTTCTCTCTCTCTCTCTCTCTCTCTCTCTCTCTCTCTTGCACGTTAAAATACGTTGATACTTTACTTCTAGTGCGAGTGTTGTTCAGTTATCACAAACACAAATGTAGTCAGCCAGCATGCACTCTTTTCCTGGTAGACTCAAGGCCTGCAGTCGGGTAGTGTACATCATGCATGCACAAGTGACAAGTAGTGCAACATGATATTTGACACGGCCCCTTGGTTAAAAGACCTTGTAGTGTCCTTTAACCATAGACCCAAAAGGTGGTATTGACAGTAGTGGCAAAAACGAATGCACATGTTGTTTGCCGATGCTACTGTAGCGAACAGGCATGTAGTCTCTTAAAAAAGATGACCGAAGGTAGGTATCTACAGCGCTGCTGTCTGTAGTTCAACTAACCTTCAAATGATCAGAAAAGTGAAATTGCTGTACAAGAACCCTAGTTGGTTCTCAGTCATCTCGTAGTACGATGACGTAGTACAGCACGTAGTTGCAGCTCCACCTGGAGATCAGGTGTGCTTAGTCCAGTGTTGGACTCGGTAGTTCTGGACTTGGCTGATGCGGTAGTCCAAGCCTGCATAGTGGTTGGTAGTGAATGTGTTGAGGAAGTCTGGACCGCCACGAAGGCGGTTGTAGTCGCATTCCGGTGGTGCAAGTGCTTGGCCGGTGGTAGTGAGGTAGTTGTGGAGTAGTAGTTTGTGTTGCATGGAAAGATTTGTAGCCGTGAGGAGGGTGATGCCGTAGTAGGTGACACTTTTGTGTAGCATCGTGTTGATGGACTTGTAGTGGTGGTCTTGAAGTTGTTGTGGTTGGTCGAAGTAGTTGAGTAGTTCTGGTAGGTACAGGGGCATGTGATAGTTCCAAATGAAGTTGTTGGACAGGTTGAATGTAGTGGTGATCTGGTCCAAGTTGTAGGTGATTCGGTGTAGTCGTTGATGTAGCTGGCGTGTAGGTAGGTGGTGCTCATCTTTGATGGAAATCATGTGGCTCACGTAGTCGCGACAGAAGTTGACGAGTTGTCCAGCGCTGACAAATCGTAGTAGAACTTCTGGTGGAATGTGTAGTTGGATGATGACGATCGAGTTGGTGTACTGGGTTGTGAGGTGTAGTGATGTAAGGTTGTAGTAGTAGAAGTTGACTGCCTCTGAAAGACGTAGGTGAAGAGGTAGTGAGTCGTAGTGTGGCATCCGTAGGTCTGAAGGTAGGTCGTGAACTGGTAGGTTGTAGTTGAGCTCGGGGATGGGTGTAGTTTGTTGTTGACTTAGTAGTTGGAACTCCTCGAGCGTCAAAGCCGCGTAGACCCTGAAGTAGTTCTGCTCCGGGTCGATCGCTGGCGTGTCGGGGATGTTGTTCTCAGTTGTAGTGAGGTGTGCCAAGATGTCGTCGGGTCTGTAGAAAGGTGCCGGTGTGGGTAGTTGGTGGTTGAAGTTGTAGTTGAGGGAGTTGTAGGCCTCAGGTGGTGGAGTGGCCAAAGTAGCCATGCTGCCGGAGTCGGTAGTGCCCTGCCGATCCGCTGGTGTGAAAACACGGTCCGGTGTAGTACTGCGCCAGCCTGTTGTTCGACGGGCAGAGTAGTCTCTGGCGCTGATGTAGTAACCTCCATCGGCATGACATCCAGCGTAGTCGCATCCATGGGCGTAGTTCCAGCCATTGCTGGTAGTTCGGCCTATCGAGATGCAGTGAAACGGGGCAGACAGTAGTGAGCCAATGTTAGCTCACAAAAGCACATGCGGGCATGTAGTAAAACACAAAACAACATGTAGTGTTGACTCAAGCCGCCAAAAGCCGCCAAAAGTGCAAGTGCAAATTACTGGTGGTTACAATTACTATTACTTGTAGTCACTGTTACTGTTACTGTTACTTAAATGCAGGTAGTTACATATGGCCATATACAAACTGTTGTGATTGATGTGCAACAGTTGTGAAACAGTTGTTGTTCGTAGTGCTAAACACGTATGCCAATGCTCTGTATGAGCCTCTGTAGTGTTTCTTTGCTAATGTATTTTGTGAACAAGTCTGAGCTGTTGTGTAGTGTGTTGATTTTGAGGATTCTGATGATGTCGTGCTTGATGAGGTCTTGTGTGTAGAGAAATTTAAGGTCGATGTGTTTTGCTCGTTTGCTAGTGCCTTGTCGTGTAGCAATGCTCTTGCCTGCTGTGGAGTCTGTGTGGATGCGTAGATTTAGCTTGCTGCAAATGTTGGTTTCAAGTAGGAAGTTTCTGAGGTGTAGTCCCTCATTGACTCCTGTGCAAATGGCGTAGAGTTCAGACTCTGCTGAGCTGAGTGCTATTGTAGCTTGTGTTCTGCTGCCAAATGCAACTGTTGTTCCTAAAAAGATGATGTTGAAACCTGAAGTTGATTTCCTGGTAGTAGGGCATCCTGCCCAGTCGGCATCGACATGAACGTCGAGATCCAGGATGTTGTTAGTGTTTGCTCTGAGTGTTGTTGTTGGTTCTATGGTGAATTTGTAGTGCTTGGTGCCGTTCAAGTAGCGTAGTAGATGTTTGACTCTCTTTTGTGAGAGTTCTGTAGGTGCTGTGAGGTCTCGTGCTAGTTCTTTTGTGGAGTATGCGATGTCTGGTCGTGTGTATGCTAACCATTGTAGTTTGCCAACAATCCTTCTGTACCTTTTGTGTTGTTCGTGGTCAAGTAGTGCTTCATCTTCTATTGTCGGTTTGTAGTGTGCAATTCCTGGAGTGTTCACTGGGTTGCAGTTGCTCATTCCAGACTCCTCGATCATGTTGTCGATGTAGGAGTCCTTTAGTCCCAGGTTGCAGTAGTTGCCGAAGTGGTCGATGTTTCTTCCAAGAAATTGTTGTGGTTTGCCAGGTTCGACGACAGTAGTCTTGTCACCAAGTACCAAGAGATCATCCACGTAGACCATGATGTAGCAGTCGCGAGTTGCATTGGTGTAGACGTTAGGTTCTGACTTTAGTCTTACAAAGCTGAGCTTTTGTAACACTTCAGCCAGGTAGTCCTGCCATGCTTTTGGTGAACTGCGTAGTCCATACATGGCTTTCTTTAGTCGCCAGATTTTGTCCTGTTGTGGACAAAGTTCTTTAGGTGGCCAAAGGTAGACGTCACGTTGTTTACCGTCGTGGTCTTTTGCGATGGGTGCGTGTAGAAATGCTGTAGAGACGTCGCCTAGTCGCGCGATCCAGTTTGGTCGTGACATTTGTAGTGCTAGAAGTGTCCGGAGTGTCGTGAACATTGGTGTAGAGGCGTAGACGGAGTCTTCGTCCTCGATCTTCTCTGTGTAGCCTTTTGCGACGATTCGACTTCGCACTCCTGGTCCTTTCTTCCTGTGTACCCATCTAGTAGGTATCGCTTCTCTTATGACGTTGTCGTCGACGGTAGACGCATCTACTTCGTCATAGACGTTATGTAGCTTCATTTGATTTGACTCGTGTTTCATTCCTTCCATAGTTGTGTTTCGTCGTAACCTTCGTTGTCGAAGATTATGGGTTGGTCTTCTGAGGTGTCGTCGTTTGTGTAGGGTGTGATGAATTTGCCGTTGGGAAGTGTCACTGCGTTAATTTTCTGTCGTAGTGGTGGTGGTTCTTTGGTTGCTTGCTCCGTTGATCTGATTGTAGTGTCCTTTGAGGTCTTCTGTGCTTTAGTGGGTTGCATTACTTCTTCCGGAGTTAAACGTCGTAGTGTTTGTCGAGGTGGTGCTGGTAGTGGTGGATGTTGTCGTCCGGTTGGTGAAGTAGCCATCGGACTATCCGGTAGTGGTCGTGAACTTGACGTCGATGTTGACGGAAGTCGTGGAGGTGGTGTGGTGCGTTGTTGTTTTGTTGCGGGTTCCGCAACGGTGTCGTCCGTAGCGCTCGTTTGTTGTCCGAAATCTTGCGTGGACGTTCTGCTCTCTGACGGTGGTAGTTGCGCATCCAAAAGTGTTGCGAACGATGGGTTGCAACTAGGTGTTCCGTCGTGGTGCCCACGGTGCGCCGCAAACTTTGTTCAATAGTGCGAGGTCGTTTTTGAAGTCCGGTTGTAGTCTCCGGACTGTTCGTACCTTTTGTACGCCTGACTCCGTTGCGACGTAGTTTTCTCCGGTTTCGGAAACTTTCCCGAGCCAGATGCATTTCTGCATCCGTAGGTCTGCTTTTGGGAGTTTCTTGTGTTGTGGTGGAAGGTAGAGTAGTGTCTCGCCAAATTCGCAGATTGCTCGCTCGTAGTTTCTTCCCCAGCGGCGTTCGAAGCTTGTGTAGCCGTCTGAGTGAATGACGTAGCGATTTACCGTCCATGCTGCGTGTCGTACTATCCAAGGTAGTAGACAGTGCTTTGTGGACATCGTCATGCTGTAGTTGCTTTCAACCTGAGCTTTGACGACGCGGATTTGTCCGAGAAGTGTTCTATGTAGTCGCTCAACGCTTCCTTGACTGTTGCTGCTGTAGGATGGTGAATGTCTTACAGTCATTGAGCCGACTTTAGATGCTGTTGCTTGTAGTAGTGCATTGAGTGTGTCTTCGTTGTCGCTTTGTAGTATGCCGTGTGTTCTTCCGCATTCAAAGATGAATGCTTGTAGGTTGTTGATCATGTAGTCCATCATTGATGGTTTGTCCGGAACCAATACCGCCATGCACAGTTGTGTAGTAACATCAACTGCCGTTAAGACTGGTATGGTCTTCGGATCTTGTTGTGATTTGATGTAGGCAAAATCCACTTGGATGATGGGTTGTCGTGATTGTTGTTTCTTGTAGTTGTCCTGGCGTCCTTTGCCTTGAACGCAAATTGGACACCAATTTCTGTATGGTAGGTGTGTCAAGTTGTGTTCTGCTATTTGTTGTGGAGTGGGCTGCTGAGGTTGTCGTAGTCCTATTGCTCTGTGTGCTTCATGATGCTCGTGTTGTTGTTCCTCATCGTGGTTCTCCTGGATGTAC